TTGCTCCCTACCAGTAATAATTAACCGAGGAGTGCACAAGCCATAGTCAATGACCACACCTGTATAAACACCTGCAGCAGTTCGATGTGTACCACCTAAAACACGATCTCCGCAAACCAGCTCATCACAGGACCGCCACTGTCCAGTAGCCAAAACGTTAGAAATTGGCCAACAATGAATTTCCAAATTGAAGTCACCCATGATCACTGTATCTTCACCACAAGCAGCAACAAACTCGAACAGCGCACCCAGCGCACGGCTGGCAGCTGTGCGATCTGAAGCATGTAAGTAAACATTGATGAGAATCAACGGCCTTTGCTGAGGTCTATAGAGTTTGACGGCCATGGATCTTTCCACAGACACCATGTCGACAGGAAGGGCCAAGGCCTCAGCAGGCCATTTTGTTAGAACCAATGTACCACCTTCCACTACATTTTTCGAATTTCTTCCTTGAGGGCCAGGAAAAAGTTGCCACCCGCGTGCCTTGACGGCACGAGTCACAGCATTCCAGCTGTGATTGTTAACTCTAGTTTCTTGAAGACACAGAACATGTAAATTCTGGAGCTGAGCAAAGTCAAGCACACCACCCAAGCGGCCTCCCAAGGACCGTACATTCATAGTCCCCAACCGCATAGTGCTGTCAGAGCCCGTCATGGGTTCTGATCCACAGCGCCATCCTGCTGCAATCCCAAAATGTCCAAAGCTCGCGAAGCAGCTCGCTGTCTGGCACTTGGAGCCTGAGCCGCAAGAGGCACCAAAATATCCCTCTGGCCCTTTCGAAACTTAGTCCAAACCATTTTACGAGGACACTGACTTCCTGTAAGCCGTCTGATGTTGTTGACACAACGCTTGCAATGCACACAAGCAAAACGCACCGTAAAATTGGCAGGCCACACAATGGCCTCAATCTGATGCGTGCTGTCTGCTGCAGTATCAGTGGTGCGAAATGCTCCAGAGTCGATGATTTCCAAAACTGTGCGGGCACCCTTCTTGAGGTCATCGCTGATGTCTGCATTTTTGAGGCACGCACGCAATCTTTCCACCAACTGCTTTCGTTTGGGCCCTTTGCTGGAAGCATACTGTTCACAAGCAATCTTTGCCAAACGCTTCGCTGTCAAAGCCATACTGCCACAAGTTTTGCAAATGACGTAAGACATTCCAACTCTTTTCTGTTTGCCATTTCCTGTGGCTGGAATGGTAACGAAAGTGGGGTCATGTGCTCCAGCATCGCCACGCTTGAAGCCAAGCAACCTTCGAGCCACTGCAGCTGCACGCACCTGGCGCGTGGCTTTGCTAGCATTCTCCCGTCTGAAGCTGCTGTCCTTGTGGAAGAGCTTGGCATCCGCCTGAGGATGTTTGTCTTCCCTATGCTTGCGGATGACGCTGTACACTTGGCCAGGTTTGAGGTTGTGATCAGCGGACAAGCCAAGTTTGCAAACAGGACACTTCCAGCTATAGACTCCTCCCTTCTTGACCGCAGACAGCGCAGGCAACGTGTTTTTGAAGCCGATTTTCAACTGTTCCTTCTCATCGGGATGCCAAGCATTGATATGAGCTCTCTTCTTGTCAACCCATCCTTTGCACACCCCAGTGGAAAAGTCACACAAAGGGCATGTCCACTCAGTACGCTTAGTGCGTCTGGACGAAGCACTGGCTGCGTCTTGTCCTTCACTGGCTGCACGTGGCGTGCACGGACCCCGACCCGAAGTAGCAGCCGCAGGGGAAGAAGAATTCTTGCGCTGCTCTGACAAAGTAGAGGCGGGCGCGGGGCTAGCACACCTTCCACGTTTATTGTTGCTATGAACCAGTGACGGCAAAGCTGACAATCTGGTGGCACCAACTGAAGTAGCGCCACATTCCGATCCTCCACCTCTGTTGCCCTGCATTGGACCATTTGCGGCCTGAGTCAAAACTTCAGGAGGGAAAGCACCTTCAAGTCGTTCATAGTGCTTTGAACGAAACCACAAAGCGATGGGAGCACCACCCTTGCCACGACCATTGTAAATCTCCGGAACCCCACGAGGCTGGAAGACAATGATCGGGCGATCGTAGTGCACAGCCGCAGCAGAAACTTCAAGAGCACTGCCCCAAGCACCAATCTTTGAGAGCATGGTGAGATAGCTCTCCCATGATTCGCAAGCATTCTCCGCCTCTGTTGGCTCCTTGCCGTCCCACCAGGGCTTGTAACGACCCTGGTGCTTGGTCAGGTGGGTGACAACGCTTGCACGCACATTCCTGGCTGTTTTTCCGCCCAAACTTTGAGCAAGGGCTTCAAAAAGACAGTTGCCGTCAGCAGGGATGCTTTTCACCTTCATATTGTGAGGGGGCTTGGGTTCCCCCGCAACACGCTTGGCCGGAGGACTCTTTTCAGGAGTACTGACAGTTCTTTTTGCCCCAGCGGGTTCTCCAGCATTGTCCATCTTTGCGTCCGACTTGTCCTCGTCCAAATTCTCAGCAGGAACCTTCTCAGCCCCTGCAATAGTCACTGGCTTTTTGACTGGCGTTCCCATGTAGAAAGATTTGCGAGGAGCAGGCGTGGCAATCGCCTGCCATGCATGGCTCTGGTTATAACTGACCCTTCCATTGCTAGCCAGTTTCATGGTATGTGTTCTCTGCCGTCTTTGTCTTGGAGCTTCAACAGCTACAATGACTTTTTCGCCAGCCTGAATTTCAATGAAATCCATATCCTTTTGAGCATTGGCCTGCACCCACCATTCCACTTGTTTGCCCACAGTTTTCCGGGACAACACCTTGAGTTCAGTCAGGCCAGCACGTGTAAGTTCCTGAGTCAAGGTACTAGCCGCCCAATCTCGCGGAACACCAGTGACGCGCCAAGCTCTGGCCTTAGGAGGAGGCTCGGCGCTCCTGGGCTTACGTACTCCCAGTCCATTCCATCCCCGGGCAATGCCCAGGTCACCAGCCATGGACTGAACCTTCTGCAAGTAGCTGGGCCCATCAAGTTCCGAACTTTTCTTGACCCACTCAACATCGCAAGATTCAATCACGGAGTTGTTCCATTGCAAAGGCTCCACAAACCAGGTACTTTTGCCTGAGCAGCCTAGAAGAGCTTTGGCAGCACTTCGCTCAATGCGTAAAAGGCCAGTGATCACTGGCTTGCCTCCGCCTTTCATGCTTTCTTGCTGAAACGCCCACATATCAAAGACTTTGTCCGCAACATGCTCTGGAACATGCCGATGCAACCAAGCCTGCGCGTTTGCCTTTGGCTTGGCCTGGATGCTCTGCCACTCGTTGTTTTGCAAATATTTTGCATCAACACTTAATCTCACTACAACAGTTTCAGGCTGCACTGCAGGAGCCGCTGACACAACGGCAGCTCTCTTGAGTGATGGCCCTTGGCCTTGAAGTGGGATCACAAACGCCTGCCTGGGCTGCACCTTGCCCGAGATCTTTCCTGGCACCATCCGCAAAGGTCGATCCTCCTCAGTCTGCTTGGCCTCTTTCGGCGCTAGCATCACAGCTGTGATGTTGAGCTCTCTTTTGATATCAGGGGAATCGCCTTTCAGCAAAACCTGCAACTCCTCAAGTTGCTCTTCCGAGTTCACTTGCACTGTAGCTGAAATATTTCCAGGCTTATCCAGTGCGACACAAAAGTCATCAAAGCCCAAAATGGGCCCCGTCCAGTCTGACTGACGCAGGCTCCACACCGGCTTAAACGCATTGTTGGCTCGAACCACTTCAGCAAAGGTCTTGGGCGTTTTGTGGGGCTGCTGCTCTGTGTGTGGCTGTTTTTGGACGTCCGCCTTTTGCTTAGGATGTGGTTTCGAAGTATTCTGCGGGGGCTGAGTAGGAGGAGAAGAAGGGTAAAAACCACCCCCTTGGCCGTAATCCCCCAGACCACCATCACCGCCCTGTTTATTTTTGTTCTTGTTCTTAGTCTTCTTGGGTTTGGCACACCCGCCATGGCCCATCATAGCACTGAGCTGTTGAAGCAAATTCCCACCGCCACCCCCGAGTCCCAACAATTGGAAAAGCTGAGAGAGTAGTTTGAGAATCTCACCTGCTTGTTGCAAATTGAAGCCATTTGCTTGGTTATTGCTTTGTTTCTGTTTCCTTTTGCGAGCTGTTGCTCTGCTTCCTGCACCATTGCCATGCATGGCATGCATCAATGCGTTCCGCTCTTTTGAAGACACAGCCCAAATCTTCTGAAGCAAATCGAAACTTGCAAGCACCACATCTGAACAATTCGTTTCTAAGCACTGCCAAGGCCCATCAGCAATGCATAGACCCGCAGCCACCGCGCGGAGGTTGTCCAGATAGCTGCGTTGTTGTTGTTGTTGTTGTAAGCGGACGTCAACCTGCTCCTCACCGAAGTGAAGTAGTTAAGACGCCATAGTATGCCATCTGCGAGAATCAAGTTCCCATACTTCTCCAAGCAAAACTCAAAGGAAGCGAAACCTGCCTGAAAAAAAAAGAAGTAAACACAGTGCGCCAGCTAGCATTCCGCAAGGAATGTTTGTTGATCAAGTACGACTTGCCAAAAAGGTAAAGTCCGTAGCCTCTGCAGACGCCAAACTGCTGCAGCCCAAGCCACGGCTCGCTGATGTCGCTGCACAGCCGCAGCGATCATGGAGCGTGAGTCACGCAACACCTCACCTGCCTGAGCATCGGCTGTCGCATTGAGAACGCGGCAGAGATGAACATCAATCCAACCATCTGGTGGTGTCCAGTCAGGCACCTTGTTGTGAGAAGGGATCCAAGTGCAAACAGTGCCCTGAATCAATAAGCCGCTGATCCGCTGCCAGAAAAGCGGCAAGTCACCCTCCCAACGGCCAGTGCTAATGCCTCGCTGAAGCCGCCGCACCAAAGCCTGATTGTCAATCAAGAGCATCACCGGTCTGTTAGCTGCAGAAGAGGCTAAACAAGCTTGCAGAAGAGCAGCACGCTCACCTGCAGCAGGTGTTTGCTCAAAACCAGTCACGGCACCTTGAACAGTGGTGCCTGAAAGTGTCGAAACCGCCCAGCTAGCTCTTTGCCATCGATCACAGGAAGTAGCTATGATCGAAAGGCGTTCCAGCTGAATCCAGCACCAAAAGAACTCCCTCAGACATCTGCATAGCTCTGTAGAATGAAGTGCTGCGTGGGTTGCTTTTGATATCCTCTTCCACGCAGTGCTGGTTATTGGCATATGCACAGACCCAATAGAATGTACTGCTTGAGAGTTCTCGCACCAGAGCATGCTGCTCCAAGCAGGCCAGAAACTTACAAACAGGCTCCTCACAGATCTGCCCAACACAAAATTGGACGTGCTTCAAAGCAATACATTGACTTTCATCTATCATTACGCTCGATGTTCATTTCTTTTTGATACAGCATCCTATTGAGGGTCCTAAATAAACAAGTCCAAAACTCAGCCAAGGCTTCTAGGGGAATGTGAATTATTAGCGGAAAAAGTAACTTGTTGCTGACAGACAATGCAATAACACGATCTCAAACAACCTTGAGGGTTTGCCTATCCAAGGCTCGATCCAAGCATGTGACACAAACCAATGAGGTCTCTGAACTTGAATCGCCATGAGCTCTACCATGCTGCAGCCCTTTTTCGCATAGCCGTCCTGGGATTCTGCATAATGGGGCCAATTAAAAAAGAAAAACAGGAGATTCCTCCAATTGGAAAATGTTTTGTCACATCATCAACAGATCCAGGCTTCGGTGGCTGGTTTGATGATCCAGTGATTCGCATGATACAAGTTGAAGGTCTCAAACTGCAGCCTTGTCCCACACTGTTCTCCGAAAGTCTCGCACCATCTGTCAGCCATTTTGGAGATGAAAGCAACGATCTTCGCCAATTGCTCGCGCGTGATCCCTCGCTCTGCAGTATCTTCGATGCAGAAAGCCTCCTTCGACGGGTCCACCAACAATTGCAGCAAATGAAATTGGAATGGAATTCAAAAAGCATTGTGCAGTACCCTCAAAAGGTGCAATCATGGGAATCATGGGCCTGCAATCTCTGAATTTCAAACGATTGACTTTTAAATACGGTTTCTCTTTATTCTATTTGATCCTATTGGTTATATTGCCTTTGTTTCACATGGTCTCAATGCACAAAGGCGCCTGTTCAGTGGCCGACTGTTCCCCCACTATCAAGTAGATCTCACAAGCCACGTTCGAAATGCGTTTAAACCACTGAATCCCAAAACAAAAAAATGAATCGGTCCATCACACTGCTGCACTTGTCGCAATTGGTACTTGTTGGCATTTAGTTTCTAATCGTGATTTGCTACTTGGCATGGTCTGCATTACCTATTGAAAAAGAAACAAAGCTGCAGGTTTCTCTCCTGGTTGGTGATCTCTGAGTAGTTTGTCAAGACTAAAGTGCTGTGGCGGGTTGCCTCCACAATGTCATCGCACTGTAGCTGGCAGACCCCACTTGACAGCACCTTGTTCCCATGCCATGGACTGTCTGGCAAACGCTCGCGTAAAAGAAAAATCATGTCAGCAGCGGTGCTCGAAGAAGTCAGTGCGATATCGAAATTGCCATGTCCAGGAACATCCACAGAAACCGACATGAGGCAGCGAGTCCTTTGCGCTGTCCAGCGGCACGAATTCAGTGCAGTCTGTAACAATACACAGATTTGTCGATGGTTTATTTATCATTTATCATTGACTTTCTTTTGCGCAACATGAGATTTGCCTGCTTTATTCTCAATGCGCTTGGCTACCCAGGGTTTCATGTCAAGGTAAGTGGCACCGCATAATGCAGCTGCAGTGCAGGTCCGTCTTGAAAGGAAGCTACGGAGACACAAATTGGGCAGCACCTCCAAAAGAACCAACGCAGCAAACACGGCCCACACGGTGAAAGAACCACAACCACTTTGCAGAACTTCGAAAGCAAGCTATGTCCAAATAGCAACACTGGATGTTCAAATGTATTATATACAATATTATTATTATATATTATATATCGATCTATAGATATATTCTAGACGATGGAACATCCGTCATCAAGAATATTTCATGCTTGGTTTCCGCGCTCGTCTAGGACCAAGGCCGAGAAGTCCTGCAGCTCTTCGACTGACAGCAAAATGATGGGCATTGAGTTCGTTTCACCCGTGAACCCTATAAAGGATTCTACAGGATTCTAAAGAGACAAAACGAAAGAAAATCTGTGTTAAGTCATATTATGATCATCTATAATTTTAATCCAATTTCTGAAATGTACATCCTCCAATAGCGTAGCCTGGCCGTGAAAACCCAATGTTTCAATAGGAAAGTCAACTGTAAAAGCAGGATGTCCTATCACCAGGTTTCACAACCAAAGGATACCTGTTGGGGTTGGAAGCACTTCCTCCCTGCACAGGGGGCCTCAACATCTCTCTGGGACAGGGAAGGTGGACCCGGGTTTCTCTTCGAATACTGAGCCTCAACGGAAAATTTGGAAATCGTTCTCTCTCAATGCAGTTGACCTGTCCAAAATCAGTGGGCCGCATAGTGCTTGAAAGATGATGGGAATGTTCCAGAAAATTTGCTGCCAGTGATATCCAATGATAATCAAGTCATAATCCCGTTGTTTTTCATGATGAAAATTCGTGTTACTAGTAGTATGTCAATTGGTATCAATGTCAATTGGTGTCCTCATCCCGGACTAATTTCATCCCTGATTAAATCCTCACCCCACGACTCTCGAAACTCGTCAATCGCGCAGTGCTTGGCGTTCGACCAGCTGCCGCAGTGAGTTTTTCCTGCGGCGCTGGGATGAAGCCAGGCTCATCTTTTTCCCTGGGCTGCAAAGCCCATTTCCACTGGGGACATAGTCCCCCAGATGTTCCAGAAAATGTTGCTGCCAATGATCAAAAAGCCATAATCCCATTGTTTTCATGATTCGCATGATATTGGCGTTTACTATATCTCAAACGAACTCAAAAATCCCTGGTGTCCTCGTCCCAGACTGCGCTCAGAGCTCGGGAGCTCGGGAGCTCGCGCTCATCGCATCTCCGCTGACCGCAACTTCCGCTGTTTGGATGTGTTGGGAAGGGCTGGGGACATGATCTCAATAAAATCAATCAACCATGGAACTGTTTTGGAGATAAATTGGGACTGCAATCACAGCAACGTGACTTTTATCATTCGCAAACTGGTGTCGAAATATCAGAATCCCCACACGAGATTCCGAACGCATTCAGAAACTGTGGAAAAATTTGAAGAATGTTGGTCCTTCCATAGGGCACATATTCAGTGGGTAAACAACTTCAAGATGTTGAACATCCATACGACTTGAGGCTACTTCTTCAAGATGTTATAAGGCTGTATTAATAAATGACCCTAACCCATGCCTGATGTGTTGCAGGTCCAGGTCAAAAATCAAGAAAATTCTTATCTGATTTGTGGCTGAGCACGGTTGTGATCAAAAGACATGGAGCCGAGAAGAAATGGGGCCGAAAACTTCAGACCAATGGAAGGAGAATTCTGATTTCAGATAGATTATGATAGATTAAAGTTCATTCCAATCCTACACCTGTCCGGGTTGTCGTGCATTCAAACCGAAAAGGATGATGATGGTTTGCATCTTCAGAATTGACCATGTCCACCATTGAGTTCACTTGCAGTTGCCAGCAAACCGGGGGGAACCTGTAATTCTACGAAAGGGCTGAGCTGAATTCACTTAAAAGAATTTTCAATGCCGCTTTGGGGAAATCCCACAATTCGCAAATGCATAGAATCAACGATCACTTGGGCCAAACCCGACAAAAGAAAATGTCGTCCGAAAGAAGGTGATACCACGAACATTGTTTTTTCCCCATCAACATGAATCATTGAGCTGTGTGCTGGGTAACTCTCAAGTGTTTGGAATGCCCATGTGTTCAACCTACTTTACAGATCGAGCCGCCTTCTGTGCAGCCTGTTCTGCCTCCAAGTCTCGAACAAACAAGCTGGCATGTTTCCACCATATCCACTGAGTTTGCTGCATGATTCATCCCAATTCTGGGAAAACATCTCCGCAGGATATGGTCCAATCTTTGCAGCGCATCCAATCTCAGCCTATTTGTCCACACCATCTGTTCAAATTTGACACAAATGATGAAGATTGGATTGGATGCGCAATGCACGGATAAAAAAAAATATGGGTTCAATCATGACACTTGCAAGAATCCTTCAAACGCTCCCTGCAGTGGGTCTCGGCGTTATGTCTGATTGTTTGAATTGACGGACATGCATGAACCCACTCAGAATGACAAACATTCAAAAATATGCGCAAAATGTTGCAAGTTCCATGACACGAAAAGGACAAATTCACAAGTCGTGTTCAATGGTGCTTGCACGGAAAACTACTCCACGTCAAGAAATCCACTTTGGTGCACTGTGACCCTTCGCACTGCATTTGCCGTGATGTGCCGTGCCAATGATTTGATTCAAAAACAAATTGTCAGTTGGCACAATTCCTGCGTGTCTAAGTCACTATTTTGAAGAATGGGAGAGTTCTGTGAGCAAACGCAATGTCCAGACTCACAGGGGCATGGTACGGTGATGTCAAGCTGGAACGGGGATGCCATTGCAGCCAACACCTGCAGAGACCAAAGAAAGGTTTTGGTGCGCTTCAACGGTGTGGATTTGCAACCATGAATCACATTAAACCACACGGTTTGTCCAAACCTGTACTTGCAATCCACAAGCTAGCAAAATAAATCAAAAATATGTCCACTTGGGTTTCCGACTGGCACACCTTTTCGCTGCCAGTCCTGCACAAGTTGCATGAAGAAAAAAAAATGCTTGTCATGTTGACCCAAGACTGCACAACCACGCGACAAAACGCAAACACAAACAGAGGTGCACTAAACTGCAAGAAAAAATTGGACACGTTTGGACATCATAAGTGCCCCCCTTCCGCACACCTCAGACCGCATCATGGGGACGAGTTTGCGGCTGCTCCGCCTCAGCTTTCATGAGAAAACATGCAATGTTTGACACGACATCTCATCAGCACGGGAAGTTTTACCCGCAGCCAGCAGCATCACTTTTTGGCCAATGTCCAAAAATCATCAGTAGCCTCCTTTCTCAAAGAAAGTTGGCTGGGGCCAAGAAAGTTTGACGCAGGCGTAAGTTATTATACGGTAGCTGCTATACCTGCAGAATGCGTTCCAAATAGTTGCCAAGATGCTGCTTCCAAAGTTTGTCCCACATATGTGCTAGCCAATACGTGTCACTGCCGAGGCACGGTTTCCATCGTGCGACGGAGTCTGCACAAGGTTTCCTGGTCAAAACACAACAAATAAACAGAGTGTCTGCAGCCTCTCTTGAACGTCCGACGCAACTGCACAAGGGAAAACTGGCAGCAGTGCTTCCAAGTCACGTGGGTCGGAAAGTTGTAACTCATAGCCTCAAGGCCATGTCTGTCGCTGTCAGTAGCATCCAGGAAACCCCTCACCGTATAGGCCATGATGCTAAAGCGATCACCTTCGAAGGGTAGCACTTCGTGTGCCTTGTTCCCATCAAACAGACAGGCTGTGTACTTCAGCTCATCCAAAGGCACCACGGTGGAATCATCCACAGACAGGTCATGAAGTTTCACCTTGTCACCGTCTCCCAGCCATAACCGCAAACCACCTCCGGTAAAATCGCCTCCAGCCAGAAGGATTGTTGGTCCAACGTTTTTCGAATCCCGGTGACGGTCAATCTCGAAGTTGTGGTTGATGACGATGGTGGTGAATACCGCTTCAGGACACTTCGCACGAATCCACTGTGCCAGCAGGGTTTGGAAGCTTCTATAGGGCTCAGTGCTCCCAACGACGTGCAATCCATTCATCACAGTCAGTCCAAACGTGTCGGAAGAACACCATTTGGATTTGTCCTTGGACAAGTGTGCTCGAAGCCTGTTCTGGTCGAAGCACCAGGCTTGCAACACCTGCAGAACGTCCTCATCGGTTGGCGCTCCATCTTGTTTCAGCAAGTAGGATGCAATGCCCTCGGCTTTGGCACGGCACTCATCCCGCTTGGCCCCTGAGAATTCCTCAGAATCAGAAGGAACAGGATGCATAGGATCCCGCCATGAAGCTTTTCAACATGATTTGTTCTCACCTATAGTGGTGAATATATGGATGGCACCACCATCTGGATTCCTCTTTGATGTTTCCCCGTGGCACAAACACAAAATCATAACCAGCGGAGCCATCACTTGCAGCTGAGTCTCTGGGCCGGGTGGCAGAGCCAATTTCGGCTGCTCAGGTTCGATGGCAGCTGTGCCTGCAACAAGCTGCAAATGCTAAGACAAAAAGAATGAACTACTGTAGAAGAGCCATTTTGAAGACCCGTGAGGACTTTGACATGTAACGTTGGCCTTGTGTTGGTGGTTTACGTGCAACGAATCTTAGAAGACTCCCTAAACTCGACCCATCGGACCCCAGTCCTGGAGAGTTCCGACGCTCCAGCTCCTTGCAGGTTGCCTGTCTCACCTTTGAGAGCCGATTCCGGTGCTCCGTTTTCTCCTTTTCGCTCTTTCTTTTCAGCTTCTCTCCTCGGGCTTCAGGTTCTTCAGGAAACGAGTCACTGCAAACCACGTGAATTGAAATTTGTCGCGTTCGTTCATTCTGAACAAAGGTTTCAACTTTCAACTAGAACCAGGAGATTGGGTGCTTTGAATCAGGCTATGGTTCAGCACAAAGGTGTGCTACGAACATGTGCAACGCAGGATTTCATGGCTGGCCCGCAATCGATTTTATGATATGCCAATCAGAGACGAAGTGCTGTCTGTCATGGCATACTCTCCTGAAGTTTGACATGGAACCCCAAGGTTTGGAAGAGAGCGCCTTTCTCGCCGACCCCAACGGTCATCCAACTGCCCGGAAACATACTCAAGAATTCCTCGAAAAGAGTGATGTTTATGTATGTATAATGCACTTGTACAACCATACCAATTAGTGGTTCATTGGTTGTGTTTATCCCCAAGTTGCGTTTTTTATCTTTTAAACCTCTAACGTCTACACACAGTAGCAAATAAGTATGTATTGACCTAATATGTATGTGTATGTGTATATATTTATTTGTATATGTGTGTGTATGTACGCCTTGCTGCAAATTCATGTGCCTAGTTAACTCAGTTTACATGCTTATTTGTATTATGTACATATTTGGGTGTGTATGTGCATAGCACCCCTCGTTGGCAGCATTGCCAAGGCTGGCCGTGAAGAGATGCCACCTGGAAAAGTGAGAGCAAACCAAGAATGTAATTCAAACTGTAACCATCAATCTGATTCTTCTAAAAGATATATGGATCTATATGCAGTATATATACATATATGATAATCCCATTGACATGTTCAAGTGAGAACAAATGTCAGTGAAATCTCATCCACAACTCACCCGGCTATTGCAAGGCAACAGCATGGCCCAGGGTTCCAGGGTTCCAGCCCTTGAGTTGGTTGTAAACCTTGTGTCATTCCATTTACTTGATGCCTTTCACACTGCCGCGGCCGAGCCTGGTTCAGTGGCACTCCTTGCTGCAGCAGCTGCACCGCACCTGATGTCTTGTTTCAAGAAGCTCGCAATTTGGCAAGCAACATGTATGCCTCCAACTGATAGAGATTCAAGACTTTGCCAATCATACTGGTGGCTATTCATAAGGTTGAAGTTTCTCAGTGGAAATTGTTTCACCAGCACCCTCGAACAGGCCTCTGCAGGCCATCTGGTCACCCGTGCCAAGTCAGGTCAGTTGGATTTCAGTTGTTTCAGCCAAGACTGTTCGGATCCTAACTTTCTGGGGAAGGCCAAACCTACAGCTATGTGAGAGCGGAAACTGTCTTTCAAAAGAACGTGGATAATGATGGCTGCACCAGTCGCTACCCTGTTAAACAAGACAGAGATTCATTCTCGTCAACTGTCGTTCATAGACATGATGTCACCAGTAGTGGTTATGTCCATGTTTGTTGATTATACTCATACATGTGTCTGTTTATTAGATCTGTTCGTGCTGATATTGCAGCTACAGATGTAAATCTCTTCACCTATGATACCTATCCTTTAATCCCAAAGTCACAGGACCATATGACAACCCATGGTTTCTTAGGCAGCTCAGTGCCCCAGGATCCCCATGTCCAAACTAAAACAATCTCAGGTGTAGTGTACGCCAATCGTGCCTGCCATCCATGGGAAGCCACATGAGTCCGCTTTCAATTCCGCAAAATACCTACCACGAATTCCAAAATACCCTGGCATTGTACATGAACGCCGGCAATGTGCATAAAATTGCCCCATCTCACCCCCAAAATCAAATCGGACCACATCAATTTGGTGACCGCTATTTTTGGGTACGGTGCATCATAACCAAGCACCCATCTGGCGTGTTTGCTGACGCAAGTACTTTGCACAACTGATCAACATGTACATAGCTATTTGAACCAACAAAAATGGAAGTATAACCTGCAATCTTGATTTGTAAGGAAGGTTGCAAACCCTTGGATGGCACCCCAAGTGGTCGCAATCCACTTGGATGTTTCAACATTCGGGACATGTTGCAGGATGGGTCAGCCAGCAATGGGAATACGGAATACAACCCCAAAAAACAGGATGGCATCGAGAAAAATGGATCTTTCAACAGTAAAGACAGTAAATCACCAAATTCTCATCTGGAGAATCTGAAATCCTCACCTATCCCCACCTCTATCCTCCATGTATCTAAGAAACCAAAGAATCAGCGGATGTGCACTGTGCCTTCACTGGCTGTCCCAACGATCTAAAATCTTCACGCACCTGGAAAGGAGATGGAGAAGCAAGAGGGCTCTGCTGGAATGAAATGTGAGACTTCATAATCTTGGAGAATATTAATCATGATTTGGGGGTATCCGTATTTTAGTAAACCTGCAAAAAAGGTAAGTGCCATGGAAGGGGTGGTTTTAGCTCTTCATAACTGATGTACAATCAATTGTTCATCCTCTTGCGAGTACAGGATCATCCACCTAGCCCAATACAAACGCCTATAAAAAATCCATTGCCCTGAGATGATTTTTTTCACCCCAGGTATGGATCCCAAAATGAATAGATCCAACACCAAGCCATAGGGTGTATTTAATGTTAGGAGTTCTTAGGAAAATGGATTTAAAAATCGCTGAACCAAAAAGGCAAACGTTCTTGCAGGGGAAGTCATGGGCACACATGGCATAGCAGGCTTCCATAGAATGCCGTTTGCCGTTTGATTTCACCAAATCACGGCATCTTCGATTTGATCGCAACTGACGGGATAATTACGGAAGAGTCACTATACATACTATACCAATCTTGTTCAATTTTGAGGCAAAAAATTATATGATATCTGATATCATAGACCAATTGCATTACATGGGGATACTGTAGTCACCAATTTCGTGGGCCAACACACCTTCTCCAGGCACTTCAGCCGCAACTATGACATCCTGGGGTCAAGAGACACAATGTGCAAAATTGCAACATCTTGTGACCGCAACTGTGCCGTATGAAATCTTAAAATCACAATCGTCATCACTATCATTGAAACATGTTGAAATATATTGAAACAGCCATGTGATTCAACTTTCAACTGCTTCAATTGCACTCATGGCTACCTACATGTCCCTCTTAGAAAGTGGCCTGAAAAAACGGTGAAGTTCAAGCTGGAGCCAGCAACCTGGTTGAGAGGTATGACGAATAGTGATTGTTTCATATGTGAACGCATGCCTCCACGAATCTCATCTCAACCGAAAACTCTCTCCCTACTGAACATACCCTCAACAATTTTCCGCATATTAGAACCACAACGTTCAGTTGCTCACCCTCTGGGTCGCCGAACCGTCCAAACTAAACAAGTTGAACCGCGTTCTTGGCCTGAACCAGTTGCACTGGTGCAAAATGGGATCTGGCTCACAAATTGGAACTGTGAGGACATTTGACACTTGGCATGTTTGGTAATGAACGACACAATTTCAAGCAGCAATGGATGGTCCCCAACACCCACATGTTTGTCACCATCTCCCTGCGTCGATGCTGAATCCAATGCACTAAAGTCGTCAGTCATCTCAGGCCCTGGCCAATGTGAGTGGCCACGGCAACAATGACAGCGGCAGCAACAGCATGTGATTGTGCCGCGAAAGCAAAAGAAAACGCGCTCATGTGCGTTGAGAATCAACATACGTCAATTTACGTGTATATATAAATATAGAAAAAATACTACACATACATGTGGTTCTTTGCAAACATATCTATGTATATGTGTGCTTTTGTGTATATGCACATATTCTTGTATGCCAGTCCCTCTGCCCTGCTCATTGGTTCAATCAAGCAATGAATGGTGGGGAAGATAATAAAACATTGCAGTTACAAGCCGACGAACGTCAGAGCACCATGCCCCAAGGAAACTTTTGATGGGGCAACCCGGAACGATTCAATGTGTTGACAAGGGTCGGACTTTTTCAAGCTCTTCAGCCTCGCCCGCCTTGTCCATGCTTTCCTTGTGCCTGGGTGGCTCACACAACGCGTCTGCCCAAAGGTTCTCTTCCCGTCTTGTTATTGAAAAATGAGTAAAAACTGCAACTCTGCTGCATCTTCACCGTCTTCACGCTCATGCTTTGCTGCGTCCATTTCCGGAGGCGGCCCTGCACCTGGAAAACAGGGTGGAGATGGGTGCAGAGTAGATTTTCAGCGCTCCACGCCAAATGCCTTGGAGCAACCAAGCCGGCGCCTTGTCGCTTTTGAATTGCAACAGCGCAGGCGGGAGGGTGTACTTTCCATCTTGCAGCATCTGCCACAGCTCAGAGACCTCCCGACACAAGAGCCACAAATTGAAAATCCACCACGCACACTTATGAGAACAAACACAGCCAAGTCCTGCCTTCATAGGCTTTGTGCTGCTTTCAGCCTCCACGCGTCTCATGCACCTCGCCCGCAAGCAAACCAGGGCTTCGTGCCATGACAGCGCTTCCTCCAGCGACGTCACGGCCTGAGCATTTGTGACGCCAATGGTGGCATGCAAACTAGCATGGTGGTGCAAAAACATCAACATCAACATCAAGTGTTTCCTCTGTTCCACTGCAAACCACTGAGTGCCCAACTGACGTCAGCACGTACCAGCCGTGCCAGCCTACCTTCAAAAACAGTTTGGGTTTTTGGAAAATGATATGCACGCAGAACATGTGCAACATCCTTGAGGTTGTTGGGCCTTGACCCTGTAGCCGGTCTTCTGGCTGATGATTCCAGTGGCGCCAGCCTTCGTCCATCTGTCAAGCTTCGCCGTAGTTTCCTGGCATCAGGAAAGGCATCCCAGAATGCTTCTCAAGTCACCACCCGAGAAAAAACTAGTCAACAGACAAGCTCAGCTGGGGCAGATACAGCATGAGAATCTTGCATCATTTTCCGAGCATCAAACTTGCTGCCAAGGCTCATACGTCAGCATGCCCTTGAGGTACTCCAAGACTGCGGTTTCCAATCCACGCAGCACATGCTCCCACGATTTCGCTCCTGCGCACAGAGGAGAGGGAATCCCAGAAAGTTTTTCCAGAAATGGTTTTAAGTTGGCCTTGAGCCTCTGCGTAAAAGACTTTTCTGTGCCCGTGCCTTCAATGATATCGTAGAGGAAGCACCGGGCAGCCAGTTGGGCTTCTGCAGCTTCGTTCCGTTCGTTCTGGGTGGCAGCTTCCTGGGTGGGAAGAGTCAGCAAAAATAAATTCAACAAGGTGTCACAGCGGTAGTTGCACTGATTTTCACGTCCCAAAGTCAAGAACCTAGAAGACTTTCGCTCACCCGGCCATTTCATGCCATTTTGGGATCCTTCACTCATGCTCATCCATTCTCTGGGGGAATCAGCAGGAAACCAGTCACCCCATGAAAACTGTTTGCCCCAATGTGGAACAAATAGGCGCTCAGCATCAGGTGGTGTCGCTGAATCGATGCCAAGGTGCTGAGATGACGCTTACCAAGCTCTGAAAAGCGTCTTGCAGCTTCTGAAACCGTTGAAGATCACCTCCTTTGTCAGGATGATGTTGAAGCGCTAATCGTCCTGGAAGCTCTGGACGTATCCCTTCCCACATGAGAAGAATCAATAAAACTAATGCTGGCACCAGCAAAAACTGATTGATGACGGTCTCCAAAATTCAGCGCCGTCTGGATCCTGTCTGTTGCGATGCAAAAATCAAGGCTCCTCCCCCAAGCACCTTGCAACCAGGACACGCCATGCGGCTTTGATTTGCTGAAAGGTGGCATCTCCAGGAACGCCAAGCTCTCTGCGCCAGCTGGACTCGTCCGACTCACAAGCAACCTGAATCAAGTGGTCATGGGAACCCTGGTACCTTGGTGAATCCTTAAATTGTACGGAAATCGATGTTCCCCGTCCCAAAATATGTTTGATCCATCCTCAAGTAGCCAATGGACAGACTGAGAAGTGAGATTTCCTTTGCATGGGCAACCTACATCTATATCCCATTGCTAAACAATAGCATGCAATGGCAATACCTCTCATTGCATAAATTGCCTCCGGCAACAGCAGTTTGTTTCATTGTTTGTGTCAGTAATGACATGTGACCACAGCAAGCATAACTTGCAGCATCTGGGAAAGTCTTGATGAGCTCGATGAACTCACCAGTTTGGTTGAAGGAAAATGCAACTTTGTTGTAATCACAAAAACTGATGGCTGGATGGTTCACATCCAATGTATCTGGTCATTCTTAAGAGGGAAAACCCATGGGTTTTTGGGAGACAAATGTTGGTCAAGAGTCGCATGCCTTCACCACCAAGGTGTCAGATGACGCCGCAGCGGACCTACAAAGGTGGCTAGGAGTGTCCTACCCGAAAGGGGCATGTTACCAAGAAACAGGCCAAAAGGCAAAGCAAGATACTGGTGTGAAAGAAATCCAATTATGGCCTCAAATACCAGTGGATGTCAGTAAGTCAGTAAGTCAACCAATTTATGGTCAGTTATAACTTAAGTTATAACCCATAAAAATAGTTGGTTTCAAGGCTAACTGAAAGCCACCTGGCAACCTGTGGGAAGCGGTTTAATCTCTGCTGCTTCACGCCAGAGAAGGTTCCATTCACACGAGGTGGTTGAGGTGGTTGAAAAAGGGGAAACGGTCCGTGATACTATCGCTTGATACATGTTTGTTCTTTCTGATTAGTCATCATTAGTCTTCTCGAGCACTTGCTTCCAGATTGATATCACCCACCTTGTGCCTCGCAGCTGGTATGCGATTTTTAAACCTGGTTGACTACTCAGTAATAAGATAACAACCCCAGGTTCAACAAGCTTGCTCCCAACATCTACAGAGATACTTCCACTTCTCCCCCCCTTGTGTTTAGCGCAGGGTGGAGCAACTCCAGGAATACCAACTGGAATACACATCCGCGCGTTTCGCCTCGTGTGCTTCCCAGGCGAACTCTTGGCTTTCGGCGCAGCCGGCAACGCCAGGGCCGCACTCGTCAGGCTCTTCGCCGCTGCCTTCAGGGCCATTTTTTGTGATTCGTCTTGTGGTAATACCACAGGTCCAAAAAGTTCACTTAGAGTTTGGAAAGATATGAAATCATCCTCCGTTTGTTTTGTCAAAAAAAACACGCATGAATCTATATACCATTTACCAGTCTCTGGATCCAGTTCTGTTGTTTCATGGTGACATTGGACCACAGCCTTTAACAGCTCAAGGATCCGGACTAAAAACCTCTTGACTTTTGGGGCTGCATAAATCTCTTGTTTTGGGATGGTTTAATCATTATAAGTGCAAGATGTCCCCATTTCTTCCCAAGTCACCCGCAGCTTCTTGGGCGGCGTGGCAGATGCCGGCGACCTCCAGTATCTACAATCATCATGGAACTATTCTGGCTCAATGTTGCTTCACCGACAGCGTACTTTCAGTAGAAACTCATGCTGTTTGCCACCTGGTCCTCTTCCTCGGTGGCAAGGCCAGGGTGGCTGACCGCGCAGAAGCAGTCACGGGCGCGGGCAGCGCGGGCAGCGCGGGCAGGGCTCCGTCGTTGGTTGCCAGAAGGCGTTGGACCAAGTCGGCCTGCGGATACAGTGGATTGCAGCTGGGATCTAATCCAAGAATATGCCAACATTTGGCTTTCATCTTGGGAATGCTCCAAGCCAGGGCCTGGGGGGGCTTTCCCTCTTGACATTTCGCCAGTGTATCAAAAAGATTCCAAGTACCAGTTCCGCTTCTGTTGAAAATGATATCCTTTCAACCTTTCGATGCTGTTGAAAATGCCAGGTTGTCAAAACAGCGCAATCTGATGATCACAGCTCTTGATATCCTTCGTCAATTGAGCCCCAATGATTTTTCCCCAGGATGAGCTGGGCAGCTGGGCATTGCTGTCAGCTACTGTCAGCTACTGGGCGCCTTTTTCCCAGTCTTCTTGAGGCGATGCTCCCCACAAAGCTGCTGCAGTTCGCGGACAGATTTCCTTCCAAGCTCCTGTGCAGAAGGTGCAGAAGGTGCAGGAGGAGGTGAGTGGTGAACTTTCACCGCAAATTGCCATCTTAATGGATGGATGAGTCAATTCTTATTGTTCCAATAATCAGTTGGATGAGTCGCAAACCAAAGTGCTGAATCAAGACCATCATTCATCACATGGATATGCAGTACGTCAAAATTAGGCACCAAAAAAATGGATGGTTTTTAGGGCAATGGATCTGTGTTTTTTTGGCATCGGCGTGAAGCCCTGAAAAAATATATCCAGTTTCACCATAACTTAAAGAGAATATTATATGATCTTTTTGATAAGCAAATTGAAGATATGTTTGATTTTCTGGAAATCTCCAATATTCAAGTTTCATCATATTATATATCTAGTTTCACCCAGCAAATCTTGGGGTTTCTTAAAATGAGGGCTACCATCAAAACGGAAAGCTCATGCATCCATGAAATCCACTGGCCTCGGCGGAGCGAGCACCTTTCAGCGAGAAACCATCAGATGTTGGGCCTGACCCTCCAACAAAACAGCAAAAATAACCAACATGGGCTTGCCCAAGGAAGTGATGGGGGGTACCAAAAGTGTTTGGGGTAACAAAAATCATTCTTTTGGTACCCCGAAACCCTATGATTCGTCATGATTTAATCGCCTGTTGCCAATGGCCCACAATATCAAAATCGTTGAAATCATATGAAAAAATCAATGATCCACTATATCCCAGTATACCCAATAATGAAATTATATCCCATTGGGAGATCCCATTATAATGTCCATTCGAGAGGCAAAAAAGATGGAATATAATGGGATATAATGGGATATGCCTTTGGTTCTCCGAAAGTTCCCTCTACAAATCTTCCGCCAAGACACTTTGGTTCTCCGCCAGTGTACCACTGTCTGGGTTTGTACCTTGGTGATGGCGATACACTGTGTCTCCAAGTGTACATCCTACAAATATAAGGGTCTACATGCGTATATATATATACACACGTATATATATATATATATATATGTTTAGATCTAGATATTTACATGTATTTTTTTTATCTGTGTGTATGCATGTTATATATACTCCTTTTTTCAATACATATGCGTTTTTCAGCAGCCACTGGCATGGTCATCCGCAGCTGTCAGTTCCATTCCCAGGCGAAATGACAAGATGCTGTCCCAGCTTGGCCAGTCACCTGAACCAATGATGGAACCACCTGGATTTTGGTCGTGTTCCCTGACGACAACATTAAAAAAAGAAACGTTGGAGAAGAACTTGCAACTGAGTTTGGGAGAAGTACTGAGTCCTACAAAATCATGACTAGTACTTGGATAACCACTATACCTGAAGTTCTTGCATAGCCGGCATGTACTATGGGCCATAGTATGTATGTGTATCTTTCTTGACAAATCAGCAACAGTTTGCAGGAACTCGGATTTCTGAAAAACCAAAAAGTGGCCATGGAAACATGATCAAACCTAAGGCACTCGTTCGTTGAGATTCCAGCAGTTCATTTTTAGATGTCATTCATCTTTTGAACTTGACAAGGCATAACCGAAACAAACCCCACAGCAATCGCAATCCTGCACTTAATCTCCCTGGACCTTGGTTGTCGTACCAATCAGACTGCCATCGGCTCCAGTTATTCGAACAACTCCAGCGATTCTCCCAGCCATGCCAGGAATTGCTACGCCATTCCCTTGGAAGGGTAACGGGGTGACGGGGCATGAGGCCTGAAGTTGATAGGATTTGTGGTTTGGGACAAACGTACAAAGTATAATAGATACATATGCATAACATTGCGTAAATATAATACATGCATAACTGTATAATCATATATACAAATATGTTCTTAGAGTGGGGGATCCCAAATTCATCCAAAGAATGTTGGGTGTTTAAAAGAAAAACCCGTTGATTTGGGGGTCATCCCAATACTTCCCGCACAGGTCGCGACTCAAAACGAGAAATGTCACATCCGTTTTGAGCGTCACAAATACTTGATTTGTTTGAGTCTATCTGAGGGTCCTATACCGATACCCACCATTTTTTTTTGAAGTCGATCATGTGGCCAAATTTACCCAACAGACATGTAAAATCAATGTTACATCGATCCTTTATGTGAAAACCAGAAAAAAATTGCATCCGACATCCCGCCAGGTGCAGTGCAAAATAGGCTGTCAATGGACCCACCAATTGGTGTGTGCTAAATAATATATGCCCATTCCAAACTGGTATATCACCCTTTTAAAAAAAAATGGGTAAAGAGTGTTTAGCAATACTAATATGTATATAATATGTATATAGGTTATAGTTTAATGATACGGTAAATAGTTTTGAACCATACCATTTCGAGATCGCAGTCCACCTGATGATCGGTGAAAAATTCACCTGTAGGAACCCAAAAAACAAAGCGAATTGCCATGGAAAAAACAAAGCGAATTGCCATTCGATATGTTTTGATTTTAATATGTTTATTATTCTAGTTTTATGGGCGTTAATGAAGTTTAGTATGTTCTCATATTTTCCTATACTAAATGATCCATATTATATTGTCAACCCCGGAAAAATAAACCCTGGGTCTGTTCAAATGGTACACACCCGCCCGAAAACAAAAAAAACATCCCGGGGTTCATCAATCGATTGGTGAATCCCTGTACTTGTTGATATGTGTGTGAATATCTCTGCTTTTTGTTTTGGTTTAGCATTAGATATATTGATATGTGTGTAAATATCAAAGTTTTGATTTAATTTGTATATCAACATTGATATTTGTGTGGATTGTAAAGCAACATTCCAATCCCAATTTGTGTCTGTCACATGCCAAGGGGGTCACCGGACGTTTTGTTTTCTGAGCCTCCCAGCCAGGACATGCCGCCGCTATACACTGGTTCCAATGTTCAGACCGAGATTTTCCTTCCAATTCCACCTAGTTTTGGGTCTGATAGCTTTCAAAACCACCTATAACATAACAAAAATGCAAAAAAAATTACTGCACATGCAATTTGAATTTTGCCCGTATAATTCGGGTTGCAACCAACAAAATTGAGACCCAAAATCGATTGAAATTATCGTTTTTTGCAAGAAATTTGATTTGGATTGCCAAATTGTAAGGAAAATCTCGGTCCGTGGTCATTCACTTTTCTTTAACAACTGCAGTTGAGGTTGGAAAATGTGACAGAAAACTCACAAAATGACAGATTCAACAAACCTTGGTTGCAGCTGGTTAGACATGGTGGGTTAATTCCTAGCTGTGACATCCCAATTGGCACAAGGTCATGAATGATGTCCAAGATGGGAAACATTTCAACGTTTAAATTTCATGGAGTTGAGTGAAACACCACTATGGTTTGTCATCTACTTTTTGAGCGCCACTTGTATACACTTATCATTGTTGTGTTGTATACCCCATGTTTACTTTTTCAATTGTGAGTTTTTGATATGATTCGCACTCACCGTTGTCTGCTTCGCACTTTTTTTGCCGCCGAAAAAAATGTGTGTTCCAAATGGGAAAATTGGAACTTTGGAGCCAAAACCGCGAAATCCACCGCCATCTACAATGGGTATTGCTGTTTTCTTGGCAATGTGATTTTTCAATGCACTACTTTGGGGGTGAAAATTCACGGGTTTTCACGCCTAAAATTCAGAGATGGGTCCGTCGACAAAACATAGCCACCAAATCCGGTTTCTCCCAAAAGGGTTCACATCATTTGTCTCGGCATCGAAAAGAAAACATTGATGTTGCTTGCATGCACATTTGATTTATCTACTGCCACCTACACACCAGCAAGGTTTCATTTCAACGCCAATCCAATACTTTATTAAATTAAACAACAGTAAACCTGGTTCCCTTGGGTTAAGGGATCACTTAGAGCACCGGAAAGTGGATCACTTAGAGCACCGGATCACTTAGAGCACCATGGGATCACTTAGAGCACCAAAAAAGTGGATCACTTAGAGCACCAGAGAATCATACCTTTAGGTAACACTTGGGGACACGGGGCTGGGACATGGGGTGGGTTTAGGGACAAGTGGGGACACGGGGCTGGGATATGGGGTGGGTTTAGGGGACCAGCATGGTGGAATGAGACCTTTAGGGTAACACTTGGGGACACGGGGCTGGGACATAGGGTGGGTTTAGGGGCGAGTGGGGACACGGGGCTGGGACATGGGTCCCTTTAGGCCAACCCCTCACTTGTGCACCCAAATTTCAATCACTTGCGCGCCCTCACTAACTTGCGCGCCCACGAGCAAAATGTCACGCACTTGCGCGCCTTGATCATCTCTCATTCATGTTCCAGTGGGGTAGTGTGGGGTGGGGTGGGGTAATAACGTTCATGTTCCTGTCCACACACAGGCACAGCAACCTCATCATCTTTCTTGCTGTCCTGCAGACACAGGCACTGCACTGCTCTTTCATGATCAGCTACCGGTGGGGTGGGGTGGGGTGTGGTGGGGTGATGTGGGGTGAGGTAGTTTTCCCCGTATTGAGGGAGCCCTGGATGCTAGATTAACCCTTGTGGTCAACAACACAAGCTGCACTCTTTTCTACGCGGAAATGCAGTAGTCTTGAGCCAGCGAAGTGGCGCAGTGGAAATGAATTGAATATACATGATAAACATGTCAACATGCATGAAAGCATTGTGTAGACACGTGAACAAAAATAAATGACAAACAGACACAAATTTTCTTCGTGTCGAAACATGCAGCTATTTGTCACAAGAAGTGCTCAGCACGTCTGCTGTGAAACGTCCGAAGACAAAAATCAAAAGCTACAGGCAACTACTGGCTGGCCGCAATGCGGCACATTGGCAATTGAAGTACCTACAGGTTCGAGGCAAAAGTGTATCCATAAAGGAACAGCTCATTGTTTTTTCTTTGATTGCGAGGCTGGTGAAAAGAAATCGATTGTTCAGGCGTTTGCGGAAGCAAATCTATCCATTGGCCATCATGCTTTCGGATCCATCTGTCTTGTGGAACTTGATAACCAGGAACATATTCAACATTGTAATTTCTTGGATTTGTGCGATGATAAGGCTGCTGATAAGGATGACCGGGATTTCGGTACGAAGTTGAGCTGGAAGAAGGCTCTCTGTAGCCTTGGTTTAGCCACTGCGAACCCGACATGCGGCTCGGAGGCGGCGGTGGCCCAGGAACTCCGGCAGGACGACTCCTGTTAGTCCAGCTTGACCGAGATTCGGTACGTGTCCGTGTGTTGCGTTCAACCGGGGTCTGAGATCACTCACGACCTCGAGCAGTATTCTGGCGCTGCTCACGCTCTCGCCAAGGCTGCGTATTGCCAGATATTCCCACGGTACGTGAAGCAACAAGTGGATCAGTACTTGGTGATCTTGCAGACCGCGGAGGCGGTACCAGTGGTGCTTTGACCGGAGATGTGACGGTTGGTTGGTGCTGGTTGCAAAAAGCTGGGAGCGGCTTTAAAACGTAGCTGTGACGGTGGCGTTTTTGGTGGTGTTTTTGGTGGCGTTACTGGCTGTCGAACTGGCGCCGGTGGCGGCTGTGGACGACGTGCATCTCTGCTAGGAACGCGGCTGGTAGAACGGGATCTCTGTTCACCAACATTTCGGTAGGAATCTCGCCGCAAAGGCGGCACACTGTCCTTGCGTTCACTGCGTTCAATTTTTCTATCATCACGTTTTTCTTTATATCTCTCATTGAGTCCTCCCCAGCGCTTACGTCTCCGGTCCTCGGATTCTTTTGACCTGATCCTCATGTTTTTAAGAGCTTTCAGCTGTGCAAAGGTCAACAAGGGAGAATGATAAGCACAATCTTTTTCTGCAAGACCCATATCATATGGCAAACGGTGCTTCAATTGTTCTACATCGTTCAACATGACTTCATCGGAAAAAGCTGAGCCTACAAGTCCATCCGCAGATGCGGAATCTTCCCTGCCTCGAGCTTCGGAAACGGCAATCTGTTTACCATAGAATAAGGAAATTAAAATCATAGAATCACAGTTGGCCTCTTTGCCTTCCATGCTTCGAATGTACTCACTTGCCATTGTGGAGGAAACTACGTTAGACATAATGCGGTTGATAAGATTTCGGTGCAAATTGATCTGCTGCAAAAATCTTTCAAGAATGTCAATCATGATGGATGTCCGAAAATCGGAATGCTCATCTTGTTTGAAACTGCGTTGGGCAAATAGGTTTCCATCTCCTGAAATAAAATCACATTGGTGTTCAACACAACATGCAACAAAACTCAGCCATTTCTGGCATGCTTCGGCATATGCTTTTGTCCAGGCGTAAGATGAAATGTGGAATACCGCAACGCGGACTTCTGCTAAAAGAAGGCGTTTCACATCATGCGTGTCTGCGCCCGAAGCAACAGGGAGAATTTCTGCTTGCGTGACATCAATCGCTCCATCAACTTCACAAAGGGCATGTTCTGGAGTGTTTTGTGTGCTGGCCAGCGGACTAGGATTTGGCTGCACTGACAGATCCTCATTCGGAGTGATATCAGGCATTGCCATTCGAACTTCCTGAGGTGTTCTTGCCATAACAAAGGCGAAAAACTGCTCCATGAAGTAACCAAAATTTGCTTTTCTTACTCTCAGTTTCACATTGATAGTGGCCAAGCAATTCAATAAAAGTTCCAACTGAATGATCTCCTCTGATAAAAATTGCGACCGACTGAGAATTGATCTCTGGGTGCACAACCATTCCAATCATGCCGTGATCTCTGGCAACCTGCTGATGAATTGCAATGCCGCCGTGTTCATCGCTTGCTTTGCAAAGGCATGTAATGTGTGCAGTGCGTCGGAAAACTAAATATGGAAGAGCACGATACTGAAGGTCATTTCTCACCCACGAAGGGAATTTTGAACTTCCTCCGAAAAAAGGAACTCGGTTGATGTGACCTAAATTAAGAGTTAAAATACCGAGCTGATAAGAATCCTTTTGGGTGTCGTTGATGTTTTGCTCGTTACGCATTGCCACTCCTTGGACGGCACGCTTACCCAAAAGGCAGCTACGGAAAAGCTCAAGCAGTCTTTCAATCTCCTTCTCTGTCAGGTCTCGGCCGTCAGGATACTTGAAAAAGACTTCAGGCCTCCAAATTGGCAAGGCTGCTTCATCTTGCGCATCAAGAAAATGTTCCTGCAGAGTGGGCACTCGATTGCCACCTGGAAGCTTGTAGATAAATCCAGTATAGTCGTAATCTTCGATTCCATGCTTCACAAAACTCTGCAGGTAGGAGTTTCCAAGTTTCTGGCCATTTTTCAAATGACAAACAAGGTCCTCATAGTTTTCTTTCCGCGTTTGAGCTTGTTCACTTCTTGTGGCTCCAAAGTATGCGGAATCAGCAAGAACAGAATCAATAATGGCTCCAACATTAAAAGGAGAATCTTTTGAACCAATGCTGTCTGGCAAAAAATCTGAGGAAATTTCCGAAGAATAGTTGATGATGTGATGGTCACATGCCAAGCCTTGGACACTGCAATTAAGGCAATATGCAAAGCCACAGGGGTGGCACCAAAACATTGCATCTTCGGCATTACACGTTTCAAAGTTTTTACAGCATTGAGGTCCAGTAGGACGTTGATACCATTCAATCGCCTCAGTTTCCTGTTTAAACTTAGTGAAAATTTTCTTAGCAGCATCTGCATCCTTGAAAAGTTCTTTTGCTTGGGTAGATGTTTCTCTTGTGGCCGCTGAGCCCCTAACTGGGTTGCGCCTTTCATCTGTCGCCGAGGATTCGGCAGTTCGAGATGCGGATGCTTTGGAACCGGATGCTGCTGCAGAGCTGACCGTTCTTGCGGTACCCTTCTGCGGTCGCTGAGGCTGAGGCGGCGGCGTCGGCATCGCCTTAGCCTGAATCGGCTTTTTCTTCGGCTGCTCGCTCTCCGATGCAGATGAGACGTCATGCGTCTTTTCCTTCTGCAAGTGTTTT